AAGGCAGATAGTGATGGTCCGCATGAACTACGTTGGCTACTGAGATCTGCCCTGAAGACCCTCGTAGGCCCTGCCAGTTCGCAGTGTATACCATCCATGTCCCGCCTCAGATGTTCGCATTAGTTCCCTCTGATCCGGAGTTCTCTCATGAGAGTTTCCTCCGAGATATACCTGAAGGTCTCGGTGTGGGGTCTGATCCTTTTAATGATAATGCTAGGCAGCATCGCCGAGGGGACTATGATGCTCAGCTGGTGGAAAGATTCCGAGCATGGAAAAACAAGGTAGGGCTGGGTCTTTGATAAGGTGGTTATATTCTGTTGCTGTTATTTCTGTTGTTGTTGTTGTTGTTGTTGTTGTTGTTGTTGTTGTTGTTGTTTTTGCTGTTGTTGTTGTTTTTGCTGTTGTTGTTTCTGTTGTTGTTTTTGTTTCTGTTGTTGTTGTTGTTTCTGCTGTTGTTGCTATCAGGTGGAAACACAATGCGGCATTCCTATGATACCAGTACGAGTCGATCGGCCCGGCCCAGATGCGAGGTCTAGGGGTTCCGGGGGCAGTAGCAACACTTGTAGCTTTGGTGCATATGCTACGATGTCGGTTCGAGTGAATGTACGGAATAGTCATCTCTTCATGCCCAACGACTCTACGAATGGATGCTGGGGAGGTCTTGATGAGAAGAAGGAGTTGTGCAGAGATTGGCTACAACTGAACTTTGATGAGAGCTTCCAACCCCCGAGGTGAGCAGCAGCCTCTAGGTCGGGTGAAAGTCTGTGGTATGCCAACTTCAGGTTGTTCCTGATGTCCATTGACTGGGTCACTTGTCATGCCAACTACGTGGTGCAGATAGTGGACAAGCTGGCTCAGTGTGCTGCGGAGGAGGGGTTCACTCTGGTATGGTCGTCAACCGCCTATGCTGGTGACGAGTCGCCTCTTGTTAGGTGGAGTTGCCAGTAGCTCAGCTATTCCCTCAACCGGTGCCTTCACCGTTGTGGAATGAAGATCGAGAGTTATGCTTTCATCGACTGCCTTTTAATCGCCGCATAACAATGCGGTTTCCTCTCGATGTAGCTTCTAGCACGACCACGCTCTTCCATAAGAAGCTCCTCTATGATCTATGCACTGGATTGGACCTATTAGTCTGCTTTTTCTGCGAGGACAGAGGACTCAAGGAGGTACAAGTATTCACCATTCCAATGGCGAGAATTTTGCTCTTTGTTTGTAGGTAGCTGTTGACACGGATGAGAATGGGCATGAGGCTAAACAGCAAGACCGCAGAGTGAGGCAACTCGACAGTCGCCTTACTGGCTGGACCACTATGAATCGTGACGGCACTTTCTTTGTGGCGATCCGCCCTGGCAGACTAGACTGGTATGAGAACTACCTCACAGCTCACGAGGCCGGCGCCCTCTCGTTGAAGCGGATCCGAGAACGTGGTCGAGCTAGCGTAACCCAGCGCGAACGGATTTTTGCCAAAATGAGGAGCATCGTTCATACTGACATAGTGCGCTTCCGCGAGGAGAAGGAGAGGGCCTTCTCAACACAATCCGAGGATGGTGATCTTGTGGTTCGTCGTACTGCTAGTTTGCCTAAATAGATGCTCTCTCCTTGCACCATTCACTCCACATTTGTTCAGTGTACAATTGGAAGATCTCGTTAGCAATGGATGTTGAGTTATGAAGTAGGGTCGACCTGGCGAACACTCTTTCGAGCCGCGGCTCGTCCGCAATGACGTAGTTGGGGGACGGAGTGGGGATAGTCCCTACTAACCTCGTAAGCCTCGAAGTAAGAGAGCATTCGGGATCGTTGGTAACTCTGGACGATCAAGTGGTGGTTCTACTCAGTGGAGGGTCTTGGTACAATATAGGGAGGTAGTGTTATGTTGCATGCTTCACGTTCTCGCCTTCTAGTAGTAGGGTTCATAGATGTCGAGGGTCTCTACATCTACGAACCTTCCTAAGAGAGTCAATCTCGGGGACGTCACTGAATTGCTCGTGCAAGCTAGCGCCTCCAAGAGGCCACGGAAACAGTACCGTTGAGAACATCATTATATTAGTCTCCCCGCATCGGTGCGAGCTCGATTAATTAATGTTCCTGTCGCTGTTTCACCCTCTCGTTGTAAGTATAGTGCGGGGAAGAGCTAGCGACGGACCTGTGATGGGTCGACTAAGTAGCAACAGGTCTGTCGTGATTGCTTCATGCGTGGCTTATTAGCTCAATACGAGCACTCTTTTATCTGTCCGTCACCTGTGCGGGTGCTGCTGCCTGACTCATCCAATGTGGCTAACAGAGGTTTTTGTTGAATGTTCTCTATCGGCGGAACGTCAATAGCAGTTTGCAAGCGGCACTTTTCCACAAGGTCACTGAGCGTCAACCCCATAATGAACTCGCCCTTCGGGTCCACCTGCCCCTACCCACTGACCGTACCCCCCGTGCTGAGCCACGATATGGACGAGTTGCATCAGATGTACACTGACTTGATACTGGGAATGGAACTGGCCGTCCCGGGAACAGGACCCGACACCTTGGTGACACTCAGCCGGAGCAGGTACGACCTCATCAAAGGTCTTTTCCCTGTCGAATGGAGCCTGGGCGTGGCCAAGATTGGCGGAGGCCACTACCAATATCCACACGATGTAGATGATGAGGAAAGGGCCTTCCTGTTTGCTCGAGAGGCCATAGTCAAGGAACGGCCGGGAGTGATCGTCCTGGGCCCTCTGACAGAGCAAGGAGACATTCTGGCCAATTGCGAGTACAGCAACTTCGTCGACATGCTCATTCAGTCCGCTCGAGAGGCACGGCCGGAGACCAAAGTTGTGTGGGACGAGACTTTGGTGGGAACCCAGCTTCTCGTGCTTTGGACGTCGCCGACGTCACGTCGGGTGTCTGCTCGCGGCGTAGAGGGTTCGATGAGAATTCGCCTTTGGAGGTTTTCGTTCAACGCGTTTCTCCATTCAGCCGAGTCGCTCATGATACTTCCTTCTTCAGGGTGGCTTCGGCCGTATAGCAGGGGCCCGACCGCAGCTGTGGTCGACTGAGTTCTTCCTCAAGGCTATCACGCCCGATGCCACTATAATACCCTCTGTGTACGGTATCGACGCTGCTCTGGTCGCATGTGTGATTAACCAAGACGATAGCACCGATAGTGAAGGAGCCCTCAACGACGATGACGAGTTGCCGTCGGTTATTGATCTCAACCGAGAGGTGAGGGGAGGCGACCTCTCATTCTCTTCCGACGTTCACTGTGACATTTCGTAGGTAAATGGCCTCAGAGATTTGGTTACCAGCGGCCTCAGCCTCCCCACAGCCTCGGCCTACATTGGTAGCTACATATATAACAAACTCTGGAATGAGCTCATAGGACGATCTCGAGTTGTTGTTGATGTTCATCACCGCGGCTGCTGGATCGCCATAGAGGTGCTGACCCTTCTTGGCAGCTCTCAAAGTTCTCGGTTCTCTTCAGGTCCTACATGACGAGCTAAGGTCCGACAACCTGCCGGCGTGTGCGAGGCTGATCAGTAGATCAGATCACGATGTTCTCCTTGTGTGCCCACCCTTTGCATACGAGGATCCTCAAACAGCTTTGTCTCATGCTGATGAGCTCGTACAGTGCATGCTTGACCTGTTCCTCCGTACAGAGTGATAGTCGTTTCTGGTAACTACCGTTTCTGTGTTAACAGCAATCAGTTGTACTTCGGACAATATCCACTGCTCTTCACGACAGATTGATGATCCCATATGAACCCTTGTCGTTAGCCTGAATGCAAATACCAGCGAGCTGGATGTACACTTGCTAAGTGCCAATATCATGTGAGTTTACTTTTCTGGATCACAACCCTTCCATCGAAACCGCCACATGAAGTATTCACTAGCTGTTCCCATCTCACCGACTTCGCGTGTAGGGTACACCCACGTTCGTGCCAATCCGGAATGACTGTTCACTAACCCGGACGTGAACCGACTGGTTAAGCGCAACATCATAAACTTTGAGAGACGCGTTTACATTTGAGATCCATCTTAAACAGTAATACTAATAACGATAGGTGATCAATGACATACACCTCCACAAATCATAATGTGTAACTGTACGTTACATCTTCGACTTACCGAACTGCCTCTCAGTTGACTCCGACCCCTGGCTGGCAGTGGAGGTTGAGCCACCAGTAGCCAGACCAACCATAGAGTCCATGAAATCCGCGCCACTCCACCTCTGATGCGTCAACAGCTCCACCTTATTGGCACGTTCGGCCCTCTGCACATCTCTAACATAGGCAAGCATATTCTCCTTGGCGTAGTTCTTGGCGAAGACATCACTGTGTAAGCCTGACAGATGAAAGCCAGCCAGAGTGATGAACTGCCACACATAACCCAGCTTGCCGATGTCCTTCTGGAAGGAGGCGATCTGCGAATCAGTCATGCCAGCAGCATCCCAGTTGAAGCTGGGAGACAGGTTGTAGCCGAGAAGAATCTTGTCACCATGAACCTTCTTAATAGCACTGGCAAAATCGAAACACTGAGAGTAGACGGGTTTCTTCGACTCCATCCAGAGAATGTCGCAGTAAGGCGTGAATGCAATTCCACGGCTAATGCACATCCTAGTGCCGCACTTGATGCGATAATAGCCTTCTCTGGTACGAGGAAGATCCCAGCACCAGAAGGGAACAGTGCCGAGCAACCTCTTAGCCTCAGCACGCATCTCGTCGATACTCATGAACATACTCTTCTCTTCCCATTCGGTCACAGACTTGCCCATGGCCTTCAGTTTGCTCGAAACGAGGTCAGGGAAGGTGGTCAGCTGAGCATTCATGACCCAATCAGTCTCAAGCTTAGATATCTCCTCAGGAGAGGCTCCACGGTGGACAGCAGCGTCAACCTTACCCTGTAGAGAATCCTTCACGTTAGGATTTGAGGCACCAACAATGAAGCTATGATCTCTAGGATCGATGTTAGTGTCCAACAACGTGGCGGCCTCAGCGTCAGTACGAGCCACAATAATTGTCTCAACGCCAAGCACATCGGTCATCAACCGAGCAGCCACGAGACGGTCAATGTGCTCTCGCGTAGACACGAGCACTTTGCCACCCATGTGGCCACATTTCTTGGTGCCAGGCTTCTGGTCCTCGAGATGGACACCAGCTGCACCGCGCTCTACCATCATTTTCATAAGCTTCATGACAGCAGTCAAGCCACCATGACCGGTATCACCATCGGCAATGATCGGAGCGAAATGGTCGACGGCTGGATTAGCCTGACGTTCAGTCTCGGTCATACCAAATCTCTCTTGGTGCTGCTTCTGGTCATGGAACACTTGCGCACGGAAGAGCTGATCTACCTTGTTCGGAACCGTATTGTAGGGATAGTCAGCGAAATCCGGGCCGGGTTCGTTAGAAGTAGAGGCCGTCGAAGAA